AGGGAACTCTTAGCTAGAAGGTCCCCCGGGCAAATCGCTAAGTACTTATTTCCTTAGGTGTCAATAAAAATAGAGGTAAATATCAGCTGAGTGAAACGCTTAAAAGGTTTCTGGCCGGATAATTGGTTGAACTCTGTGATGCTTTTTTATAACAGTTTTAACAACAGTCATTATTTGTAAATAACTGTAAAATTAATTAACTGAATACTTAATTTTTTTCATTTAACAAAGCCTCACTGATAGCACAGAATACTTAATACATAGTAGGTACTAGCGTTTCTTAATTAGGATTAAGTGCTTTCTAAAAAATATCGGAAAGAAATGTCACTAGAATAGAAACTACGCAGTCTATGTTATTTTGGGGGCAGTAAATTTTCCACGTCAATTTACACTACGAGTGCGATTGCTCAGCCTCACTGCTTAAAGGACCGCTGACCATCATTTTGTGAGATGGACTTTGTTTGTGCATTAAAGACAAAAAAATCGATACAGTGAGATGTAGCTTCCTTTAAGGAAGATATTTAACAGAGCAATAAAGTCTCTACATCAGTCTTGAGTTCCTTTGGCAGTCTGTAAAATTATTATTTTTAATTAGTTATCAGCAAAGTATAAATATGTAGGTATCTCATCATGATGCCAAAACTAGACTATGATAATATTATTCATCATCCATACACTTGTCAGAGTTTTCCTTCTCACCTACTGCGATTGTTTACAAGTAGATTACTTAGTTTAAACATTTAAAGAAGTAGGCAGGTAGTTGGTTTCATTTCGGGACAATAAATTCTGATAAGGTAAGATTACCTACCTGCACTGACGATTTACGCAAAGAGTAGGGAGGTACATAATTATTTCGAAGTTTTTACATAAACATGTAAGAAGTCGTATTTTTTGAGGTAGACTTACAATGTTACTTTTTGCTTCTCTGGGAATGTCCACATTAGCCCACTAAACATTCTCGGAGAGCAAAAAGCATATTATTATACTATGTAGGTCGTATAGTAGATATTCGTGTGAGAATACACTAATCATATTCGTGGAATGAATTAACTGCTTAATTGTGTTTGCAGTAGCCAGTATCTTAATTATGGCAGTGTCAAAAAGAACATTTATTATATTTCCTGTATCAAAGTTATTACTTATGCTACGTCGACGATTCTAATATAGTTTTTATTCGGGTCCGTAATGACATTTGACTGATTCTTCTTGGCCAAAATGTTCCTAAGCCCGACTGACTAAAATTATGATAATGATGATCATTTGATGAAAAAAAAAACTCGTGGTTGGGCCACGCTTCGCTGGTAGAGTCGTCCCTTACATATTATTATTTGCTCTTACAAAATATTCCTCAGTAGTTTTCTCACTGTTTAATCAAGCCGTGGCATCAATCAGATGAGTCAAGATAACTAGTTGGTGTCGCAGGAATATTTATAAACAAAACAGTCCTATGTTTTCATACTGTCCTGTCAGTGGGTACCTAACTATGTTAGTTGAAAATTGTTGCGATTTTTTTTTGCATTGATTAGCAAGATTTCCATCAGGCTAAAAGTTTTTATCCTATAGTCCCTAAAGCTAAAATTTTTGTATACATGTAATCTGCGATAAATTCTTCTGATGAAACATTTGTCGTATTTTCAAACAGCTTGAGAAAAATTGCTGAATATGACATTGGATTGATAGATGATTTAATAGGGCACAATTATCAGTAATTACAAGAATGAAAAAAATGAGGACAGTAATCCTCAATAGTCAGTGGACGTGGTGGAAAGCTTTCCAGACCAATTATGTTGTAAAATGATGAATAACGACAATTGAAGACTTTTACAATGTTGCAAGTGATTATGAGTTACATCTAGGATCTTGGGGTTTAGTAAATATCGGTTTCGGATAAAAATTGAGAAAAGCAGGTGACAAACGTCCAGTTTTGGAATTTACAACCCTTATTGAAATGGCCATTATGACCGATTTGAGTGTAAATTTTGTAAGCCTGCATGGACTTCTTCGTTCAAATTGTTAAACTAACACATTGCGAATCTTAATTATGAAAAGATAAGTTACGTTTAAATTACAACAAAGCAAGCATCTATCACATGATTTTTGGAATAATAAACACGTGGCGCCAACACTGGTGTTACATTAAGATAATGTAAAAGAAATGGTGTTTTAATGCGTGGTAATGTGACTTTATAATTTTATAGATTTAAAAGCAAGCATCCCATTATTAGATTATTACCTACACAAGCGAGTTATATTAATAGATGTCACAAATTGATATTTTCGTATGAACAATTCAAAAACTTCGATTCATGTCATGAAAATCTCACAAAAACTCAAATTTCAGTTTCATGACAGTATAAGCTGAACCAAAATATAATGTGTGTTCAGGTGTTGTATTGCAGCACTGTGATTATCACTATGTATTAATAATTTTATTAATGTTGTTCCGCATCGTTCCGCCGAGCGTCAGAGAAAAATCTCAAATAAAATATTTTGCAACTAAGGTAGTTAAACGAGTGCTACTCTCTTTAACTATAGGTTACCTAAAAACTACTACTCTTCGAGTAAAAACAACAATAAATACTAAGGCTGAGTTGCACCACCTTATTTTGACCGTAACTATAACAATAACCGGTGTTTTTTGTATGGAGTTTGACAGATTTTTGACGTTTGTCAAAGTTAAGGTAAGATGGTGCAACTCAGCCTATGTAGTGAACTGAAAGGATTTTTCAAAAGTTTTACGTAAGGCAACTTCGTATAAAAGTTTGCGATTACAGTTTGCTTTAGAAAATACTCAGCCTCGTGGACGGTCGCCTCGTGTGAATTTAATTTATAAAGGATTCCAAAAAACCTAACTGCATAATTTGACTTCTGATATACTAATAAAAACTCTTAACTTTTTGCGTCATTACGTAGTTAGTACCTTCTTTGGCCAATTAATGTAGGCGTTAACGTGATTCTATTGATTTAAAAACGTGATAATGTTAATACAAGTGTCCAAGAACTATCGGCCTTGATTAAATATTTTCAGCACTTGCTTGCCATTTACGTGTAAAAATATCTTTGTTTTATACTCCAACCATCGTTGTAAATTACTAAGAGATAACAATAAAATACTTATAAAATACAAAACGCGACAATATGTAAATTTAAATAATTTTCATAATAAAATAATTTAAAAACATTTTTGTATCACAAAGACTTTTTCTTTTACTTAAAAACGTTTTTCAGCTATTAATGAAACCACCTAATGATAATAGGGCGGGCAAGTGTTGTGATTCTTCAAATTCTACTGTGTCCGTCCGTTGACCCTAGTCAAAATTATTTTGATAAAACTACATAGGACATACATATTTTTTATTAAAAAATAACCTGTGAGTGGACAAATGATATCCAAAGACACCCATAATAATTATAAAAACATTACATTTCGATTAAAAATGCAAATCTAAGCCATACGCATTGCTTCCATAATAAAATACCAGCCTCTAGTCATAAACAGGCCAATTTATATTAATGCGCGGAAATCTACATCAGTATTCTCAATTCTCTTTTGTTTTACGCAAAAAATGAAACAAAAAGTAAAGTTTTTGTAATTAGGTACCAGGTTTTAAATTCACAGTGAATTTAAAGATTATCAAGTTAAATTATTTAGAAGACGGTCGTTGGTTTTAAAGTAGTACTTACTCTAATCATAATGCCTATTTTTTTGTAACTCTGTGTAGATAAACAAATTATTATGATCTTTAACCATTCGTGTTATTTGTATAATTTTTCAATACGGAAAATATAGAGTCGAGCGTACAATGCCATAGGGCACGTTAAGCCTTCGCATCTGCATCGGTCCCATCAAGCCATTTCAGACTAAAATCGCTGATACATTGGTGCATACCACAATTGCTCAAAAGGAGAGGTTTTGATTAGTTGCATATTACACGCCCTTGTAGTTACGTGTTCGTTCGTTCGTTTCAGCCAAATGACGTCCACTGCTGGACAAAGGCCTCCTCCAAGGCTTTCCACAATGCACGGTCCTGCGCTGCCCGCATCCAGGCTCTTCCCGCGACCTTTACGAGATCGTCGGTCCACCTAGTAGGAGGCCTGCCCACGCTACGTCTTCCAGCCCGTGATCACGTGATCGCAGCAGTTACGTGTACCTGTAGCAAATCTCGTAGCAAAGGTTCTACGAGATGGCACGATATCATCGTAGATCCAAAACAAGTCATAATCGAGTTTAATTTATTCATACTTATGTTTTTTTTGTTCATTGAAAGACATATTCATATTACATATTAACTACCTTTTAATATCAGCAACACAAAATTTTAAAATATTATTTGGAGAATAATGCTACTTTTCAAAACACGAAGAGTATGGGTGACCGCTTACAATAACTGGATTAAAATAATGTGGCACTGCTTTAAAATTAAATTCCCTTGAGTTTGACATCTGCACGCGCAAGAAAAACTAAATGGAAGAGCGTGCGTACTGAGATCTGACCCATCTGAAGGGTTGCTTTTAAAAATGTGACGTTTATTCTATTAAACAAACAAAAGATTCATCGGCTAAGCCATTGATGAGCTAAGGATTTAAAACTTGTCGTGACCACAAATAACTGTAAATAGATGTGGTTGAATGCACGATTTGTCAAATACTACACATTACCTATAATGTATGGGTATTTAAATTTCTTTAAATCTGATCTTACAAGTAGATACCGGAATACCTTATTTGTTTGTAACTTATGAAACATAATATTAATAATAATCTTATGTGGAGAGTGGCGTTACATATAGGATGGTAACACAAAAATAAATTTTCCTGAAATATTTCATAACCAAAGATGACACCTTGAAAATGTCCTCGCTCTTTGTGAAATGTCAACGCGATCGCTCAGTAAAGTCGCGGAACTAAAGATTGCAACCTTAAAATAAGTTAATTATCAGAAACAATATCACAAGGTGGGGCGAATAAGTCGAGTTGGAGGTGCAAAACGGACCGCGCCCGCCTTCAAACTTCACACCACCGCGGTACTTCCCGAAGCGCACACGCCTCCGCCACGATCTCGAATACCATCTCGATCGAAACTCGATCGGAACGCGAACTCGAAACTAAACAAACGTGTGTAATCATTGAAAACCGTTCAACTTCAAACGCGCGTAACGTAGCCCTATGCGGAATTTAAGGACAGATAGTGACGTGATATGGTTCCCGAAAGTGATATTTGACACCAGTTTATACGATTGTTTGTGACAAAACATTATCAATTAGACATTTCGAAATATCCGAAATGCTTGGGACTTTGTGCTGATATTACCTACTTCGTTTTAGATTTTAAATAATTTTCGAGCACACTTCGATTTCGGTAAGTTTTGTATCTGTTAGGTACGTTAATCTTTTGTAAATAATCGTATTTTAATTGTGTGATTATTATGTTTATCTTACAATTTCCAATGCAATTAACAATCAATAACTACCTTTATGTTATTGTTTATTATATCACACAAATCTAAATTTCTAACAGCATATTATACCCTAAAGTTGAACAGAATAACTATACTAATACTTAAAGATTAATATTAATAAAGACATATTTTAAGAGCATAGCACTTACGCAATGCATGGTAGAGCGAGACCGTCCCAGTGATATCCTTCATTGTAAGAGTTTTGTAAACTCTACCGTGTCATCCTCCACAAACTGTGATTTCAATACTCTCTCTGCTAATATTTGTTGGTAAAATTATGCAGATTGCACACCAGCATACCTCTTTTAGTTTTCCTTAAAAAACATTAAACGAGCTTTCGTGAATCAGAGGCATACAAACGTAATGCAATCGTAAATATTAGTTTTCCCTTTTTAAAAGTTAAAACTTTTTTGGTAAGAACGTTTTTAATGAACTTTTTGACTAAATTACGAACGTTAGTAATTTTAATCAACATTAATCATACATTTATTTATTATTTCATATAGGTTTTTGCAATGAAAATACAGAGTAGACTGTAATGTTGACATTGATAGGAATTTATATTCATGGTAATACAAAATATCTCTTGAATTGAATACAAACATAACTATTACGTTTATGCACGTCGTTTGTCTTGCATTTGAAATAAAAAGGCTACAAAATTTCGTACAACAAAATTTTTCGATAACCTAAGTGCCTAATGAAAATCTAAAGATAAAGTACAGCCTTTGTAACATGACAAACATTTATGCTAAATTAAACAACATAGATACATTCTAATAATGAAAACGTCAGTATGTTATCTATTTAGGTAACTTAATAAACCTCAAGGCGCTGGTAAAAACAATTAAAATTTGAGTTAATTAGTGTTTAGATTGTACTCGTATTGTGTATTATATTTGCCACATGTTGTATTGTGTTATTAGTTACGTACTTGACAATTAATACTGTTTAATTGATCTTTAAACGCAAATCAAGTATGTAGTTAATTATGTTTATTTTTCGCTTAGTTGCCACGGTATAAATTGCTGACACTAATAACTAAGTTGTAACATAAATACGAATATATACATATTATACCTTCTCATAAGTACAGTAGAACTTAAGACTACTTGCTTCTAAATAAATTAGGTTCTAAAAATTATAATATCTCTACCATAAGTAAAATACAATCAGTGCCGTATTATCCATAAGGCACTTTAGGCCAGTGCCTAGGGGCCCACTATGGCCAGGGGCCCACTATGACCAGGGGACCAGCACTCCCGATAAAAAGATGAAAAAAAAAAAAATTTTTTATGCAACAAAACTCAAACCACCTCAAAACTTCACCTTATTTTAGTTAACACATTCAGTCGTCATATTTCGATATTGTGGAACCTAATTAATTTTCGTATTACTGCCCCCCTAGACAAAACGCACTTTTTGATCGAATCGAAAATCGAATCCGTCAAAACTCCATACAAAAAAGGGGCTTTTCGACCACTTTTCGACTGGTTTGCGATTATAATTTGCACTTTGTCTAGACCCACTGCTTTGGTTTACATGACAGGTCGACGGTCGACGCCCTTCAGAGGCTAAAAAGCCTCACTGCGGAGGCTAGGGAGAGGGCTGAGGGTGTGTTGGCTGTATATTCGATATAGCCAACGCTTTCAATACCATCCCTCATTCCACCATACTCTAGGCACTTCAACATCACAGAGTGCCTCAGTACCTTTGAGCGCTGCTGGCCGATTACTTACGGGACCGCAAAGTCCTGTATATTAACAGAGACGGCCAGCTCAAACGGCGCGGTGTAGCCAGTGGGGTTCCGCAGGGTTCGGTGCTCGGTCCACTCTTGTGGAACCTAGGCTTCAACTGGCTGCTTCGGGGCGTCCTTCTCGCGGGCATGAGTGTCACATGCTATGCGGATGACACTCTGGTCACTGCCCGGGGAAGACATTTCGGGCCGCGGCACGGCTGGCGTCGGCGGGCGGCACATTAGTCGCTCGCAGAATACGACGCCTTGGTCTGAAAGTCGTGCTGGGTGTCGTCGACTTTATGCCGGCATTCTCAGGTCAGGAGCATGGCGCTGATGGCGCCCCAGTCTGGGCGGACGCACTCAATAAGAGGGAGAATGCTGCCCTTCTGCGCAGACCCCAGCGGGCCGTAGCGCAGAGGGTCGCAAGGACCTAGGACCTACCGCACGGTAGGGCACGCTGCGGCGCGCGTCCTCGCTGGTACTCCTTCTTGGGAGCTAGAAGCTGGGGTCTTGTCTATCATCTATCACTGGATGGCAGACCAGAAGGCGCGTGGAAAGCGCCCGGCCCCGGAGCGGTGCGGCGCCGTTATGAAGATATGACTCGCGCGCAGTTTGGCCGCCATTGGTCCTGTTCTGGACCAATGGTTGGAACGACCGCACGGGTTCCTCACGTTCCGTCTGGCGCAGGTGCTGACCGGGCATGGCTGCTCCGGTTCGTACCTGCAAAGAATCGGGCGAGAGGAATCTCCGTGTGCCACAAATGTGGCGCGGCGGATGACACGGTGCAGCACACCCTCGCGGTCTGCACAGGCTGGGAGGAGCAGCGCCGTGTCCTCACTGCGGTCGTGGTCCGGGATCTTTCGCTTCCGAGCCTGGTCATCGCCGTGCTGGGAAGTAAAGGATGCTGGAAGGTGGTCGCCTACTTTTGCGAAGAGGTCATCCTTCAGAAGGAGGCAGCGGAGCGCGAGCGGGAGAACGATTCTCTCGCCCCATCGCTCCGCAGGTGGAGAAGGGGCCGGAGAAGGCGGTTGTACGACCGTTCTACTCTGCCCCCAGGTGGCGGCCAGCAGGCCGGGGGTGCGGGGGCACCCTTGTCACCTTCGTCTGACGAGAACGGCTTGACGTTTCGGGCATTCCCGTCGGACCCCCACAAGGGGGGTAGCGTGGTGTCGCGGAAGTAGGGTTTCTGATTCCTCGACTTATTTTTTTTCTCGAGTTTCGAGAATTCTCGAGGCCAAAGTCTCGAGTTTTCTCGGGTCTCGAGTCTTTTAATGAAAACTGCTGAAATCGGTTGAAATTTGATAAAAACACATGTTTTTTTTTAATCTAATATACCTACTTTTATGCACAACAATCAATATTAGAATTTAGCATTGAGTTATGTAGTAATATTACTTCAATGGAATTTAGTACCACTTTTTTTGGTAAAGAAACAGTAAATAAAATCTTCTTTCATAATTTAATTTTTAATTTTAATTTATTTTAATCCCAATCCCAACTAATATTATAAATGCGAAAGTAACTCTGTCTGTCTGTCTGTCTGTCTGTCTGTTACGCTTTCCCGCTTAAACCTCGCAACCGATTTTGATGAAATTTGGCATAGAGATAGTTTGAGTCCCGGGAAAGAACATAGGATAGTTTTTATCCCGGTTTTTGAAACAGGGACGCGCGCGATAAAGTTTTTCTGTGACAGACAAAATTCCACGCGGGCGAAGCCGCGGGCGGAAAGCTAGTAATTAATATTTACTGTAGTGTACTTTAAGGATAATAACAATAAAAATCTGGAGCAACAATTGAATCACTTGTTTTCTAAAGAACACAAGTCTAAATAGCAAAATTACGATAGGTAAATAGTTTTTTTTTTTGACAGAAAAACTTTTTTTAATAAATTTTTAATTTTCTTACTGATAACGACTTGAAAAAACTTTACGAGGAGGCACGAGTACCTAACCTAACGTCTGTTAGGTAAGGTAACTGCCTAGTTATTCAGTCTTTAAATCAGTCAGAGTTAAACATACATAATAAATATATCATACTCGTTGGTGAACATTATCATAACTTAGTTTCGATTGAGATCATTACTTTTAAATCAAATCAGTTAAAAAAGGAAAGACTAGGCCAGTCTAAAAGCAACTTTGACCTATTAAATAATTAAAAACTTACTTGTGTCTAAGAAAATAGGCTTTCAAGAATATTAAAGCTTCAAAATCGAAACTCGAGAATTCTCGAGCTCCGGTAATTTTTTTCTCGTCTCGAATGAAGCCAAATTTCTCGAGTTTTCTCGAGTTCGAGAAAGCTCGAGCAGAAACCCTACGCGGAAGTCTAAGGCTACGGCTGGATACTCACGACACCCCCACTCGGAATACGACGGAACGCCGCGGAGGTTTTAGTGGGTATACCCCGTCCTTTTCCCTTTTTAGGGCGCCGGGAGTCCCACACACCACCCTGTCCCCCGGCAGTGGTGACGGTGCGCAAAGCATTTCCTCCGCGACAAAAAAAAGGGGGGCCCAAAACGAGCTGTGCCTAGGGGCCCCGAGATGGTTAATCCGGCCCTGAATACAATCCTCCTTACTAATAAAAAGTTACACAGTTGTTGAACACTGTTTTAAAATGACATTTCCTTATTAAACGTCACTTTAAAACACTGTTCAACGAGCGTGTAAGTTTTATTAGTAATGGGGAATTATGTGTAGTAGCTTGTTTAGCAACAGGTAGTTATATCGTTTTAAAAATTACTTCACAAAGCAGTGTTGTTAATAATTTGAAGCTGTAAAACTAATTTGATATGTGACGTCCTATTCGTTCATATCTCAGATCATAGAAAGAGAATAGATATGAAGTCGCGCGTAACTACAACGAGAACCAGTGTCCCCACATTTCCCCCACCACAGCTCCCACACACACATTCAACTGTGTAAAAACAAAGCGACTGAGAGTCTACGACAACATGTGCAACCGGCTTAAAAGTGCTGTGATTGGCCAGAAGGCATGCCTTATGGCCAATCAATGGCCGCGTGACGTGACGCACACTTTGAAAACTAGTGAGAGAACAAAGACAAAATGGAGTCGACAAGATATCGATACTTTAAATCGCTAGGGGCAAGGCTCGAAACTGATTTCACAAAATGCTTATGTATGAAAACCTTTTTATTATTATACGTT